TTATTAAAAATAATTTTTTAAGACTCATGTCGCGAACTAATAGCCACTGCGTCGCTACAGACTCGCGCAGTCGCTACGGAACTCGAACATTCGTGACGTGACTCTACACTTTTCAAGAATTTTAATAGAAAATTCTGCTTAATCGTGACGTGAGTCGCGAAAAATATTTGGACTTTGCTAAAATTCTGTGAAAACTTGACTTTCTTGCAAAAATAAATCGATATAAAAGCTCTTTTTTTGGATATGAAGTTTCTTGATTTTTTTCCTTAGTAGAAAATCTGAACATATCACTGAGCTTCAAAATTTTGAAATGCGATTTGAGTTCGAGGAAATGGGATATTCGGAATCAGCATGATCAATTACATATGGGTCCATGATTTTTAGCCCGACGTACTTCCTAAAATTACTTTAAAAAAATTTTTTAAATTTTTAAAAAGGTGCGAGCGGGAGTTGAAGAAATATAAGGCAAAAGAGAAGCAAAAAAAGTAAATTATTTTCAATTATACATCATTCGATAGAGCTCGTCGAGCTGATCAAGAACATCACCTTTTTACCTATTTTTGATCAAATTTTGGCCAAAACATTTTTGAAATACAAATAGCATGAGAAAAAGTCAATTTTTGACTGTTAAAAGGAAAATCGAAGTTTTCACCCTTTTACGTGCACTTTAACTTTCTAAAACTGTTTGATTCAAATTCAGCATCTCAAAATGAGTATATTCATGTGTGTTTGACAATGTTCCCTCATTTTTGTTTCTCTCAGTAAAGTGCAATAGGTTCATATATAGACATATGGGCACCCCCTACTCCCAGATGCATCAACTCTGGTAGGCTAAGGGCTTTCTCCGATATTTGCACATCATTCGAATCGTCATCTGATGGAGAACAAAGTTACGTATCGGTTTTGGAAAATATTGTTGTATCACTGAGAAAAGTCACTTTTACTGGACTAGAAATGATGATAGAAGTTCAATATTTTCTTGTTACTTTTGAGTTCGATTCGAAATTTGATTTTCACTTTTATATATGGGTAAAAAAGAATGGAGAATTTGATGATTATGCTTAGAGACCTTTAGATACCGTGGAAAGTTGACATTCAGAATAAAAGTTGATAAAACTTTTCAAAAATGTGCATTTCTTGGCCATGCGGCTTTATTTTCAGCTTTTAGGCTCGCATGTTTATCTTCTCCGGCACGTAGAGTCGAATGCACGTTGGAGAAGTAAGTCAATGCTTTTTTTTTTGTTTTTTAATAGGTTTAAGATTTCTTGTTCAAAGGTTTAGAAGTATTCGTTTTTTTTTGCTTTTTTTAGAATTTTTTTATTTTTTTGTGTGTTTTGGGAGTTTTTTGAAGTTCTTTCATATTTGATAAGACTTTTTTTCAAGAAAAGAGCTGAATTAAAAACAAAAAGTTTTCTTAAGAGAGTTTGTTATTCGTTATTTTTCGATGAGAAATGATCTCATACTTACATGTTTGACTAAAGAAGAGGCACAGCACTTCACTATACGATTTGCCTTGATTATACGCATCTAAAAAGCGCCAGAATCGTCGTAAAAGCGTCATCTGTATCTGCCGCTATTGAAAATTCTCACGAGACTCAAATGAGGCACACCATGGTGGAAAAAGTCTGATCAGACATTTTTCTTACATATTGCTTCATATGACACCATAAACCCTCGATTGCGTTCAATTCACAATGGAATTTAGGAACAAATATTACTTTATGAGTAGAACTGTGTTTCCCCATACTGTAGAAAGCTTTGCTTTTCGCACTCGGCGTAGAGGATTGCCGTCGAGTTGGTACTTAGATTTTTCAATTGTTCGTTTCTTAGGTGCGCATTTTGTCAGTGCATGAAATGTTTGCAGTCGCTCGTACGTAACAATAACGCGTTGATCTGTGAATGTTCTATTTATCTTTGCTTTTATAAATATGAATTCCGGTGAGTTTCGTCCACTGCTGACCTCCGCTACTCGTCTTCACAGTGCAAAAGAAGTTGTAAACTTCGCAATACGAATGTAGTGCATCAGTTTATTTTAGGTAGTTTGCTACATGTATATACATCTGAGCGATGTCAGTTTGATTTTTTAAAGCGAGAGAGATAAGACTCAAAGGTTTTTAATTTTTGAAGTTTACTATTGGTCAATGAGGGCTCTGGAAAAAGAAGTAGAGTCTGACTTTCCACGGATAAAATCAACCACCACATACATGACTGTTTGTTCTGTGGAGTGAACAAGAAGGGAAGAGAAAAGAAGCATTAGGAGGAAATCATTTCATGTGTTCATTCTTTGGGAATGGTGTGTGGAAACAGCAACTATTTCAACAGCGGGTTCGTTTGAATTTACTCGTGCTCCATCCGCCTGTTTGCTTCACGACCAAAGGGTTTAGATTAGCTTGTTTTTCCCGTGTTGGTCGTGAATGTAAACAGACGAATGAAGCAAAAGTAAATTCATTCGAACCTGCTGTTGAACTATTGTTATTTCCACAAACCGTTCCCAAAGAATGAACATCCGAAATGCTTCTTTTCTCCTAGTGAAATAGGAAGATAGAAGTCGTTCATTTGCGGCTCTTTTTCCGTTATCAAATGATACCCATACAGCTGAATGATTTCTTCTGATTTCTGTCTAAAATTCTATTTTCAAGAAAAGGACAAGAAGGAGCAGAGAGAGAGAGAGAGACTTTTTACACTGAAGGCAACTGCTTCTTTCTCGTAGGCGAAACTGCGTCATCATGCTAGGGTCACGTTAGAACCTGTTAGTCCTGATCCAACTAACTTACTCTTCCAACGGATTGCTTTTCTTTATGAGAAAAGAGACATTCTCCAGTATGAGGATAAGTTGGTTTCCATGTTGTTGCGAAAGATGAAGGAAAGGAGAAGTAGTGGGAATTTCTCCTTCTTCTACGGTACAACAGATTCCCTGCTGATGTAATAAAACAAAAGACAGCTATGTTTTTTCCCATCGGCGGTGAATTTGAAGAAAGCAGCAAGGCGTTTATGGAAGAAAATTTAGTACGATCGTTGAAATATGTTTGCTTCTGTTCTCTTTGCATTAAAAAGATGAAGAAAAAAGACCGCAGAAAGGAAAAAAAAGAAATGAGACGGTACCCTCTACTGTCTGCATCATGACGACAAATGGAAAATGCATTCAGAATCGAGAAACGAAGAATCGACTGAGAGAAAGCTATAAAAATAGCATTCGAGAGACAGATGAAGAGTATTGTTGTTGTTCGCCGACGGAGAGAAAGAGAAAATAACGGCAATACGAAATCACAGTCATTTCATTTTGTCCACATCATACAGTGACGTTACTTCAATGGCTGAAAGCAATGGATCTGTTGCAAAATTACGGAGAGATATAGGTTGCATCACCAAGATGATGACATTTTACCTGGATGCGTACAACACTCCATGACGAACGTTATATTGTCGACTTCTCAACAAATCAGCGAGGCTGTTGGAAACATCATTTGCGCACGCGCGATATGCAGCAGCAGCAGAACACGAGGAGGTGTCGGCCGAGGTATGTGTTCTTGTTGGTCTTCGGTTATTTTGGTTGCGTACGCTGGAAACCCACACGAGCAGAAGATTTGCGGCCGCTCTGTCTCGCTCAACGCCAAACGAAAACAAAATAGTCGATTTTGTTTTGCTAAGAAATAGGGATTTTTACTAATAAACCGGCTTTGAGTGAGTGCTGTCGGTTTCGAAAAATGACAGGTTCAAATTAATTAGTTCAGCTTTTTTGTTGACATTTCAGATTTTCGTTACACAGAATGTTGTTGTCATGCAAATACTTCAGCTGTTTATTATACTTCCAAGAACTTCATTTTGCCCACCCGTATTCGGAATATTCCATAATAGTTTTCCTGCTGTAGTTATTCTGCTAACACCTTTTTTGAATTTAGAATAGCATTCGGAGCCGTGAGCTACTGTTTACAGTGCTAAATATAATTCTTTGCTGCGGAAGACGAGCAAAATTCACCAGTTTTTGCCACGAGAATGCATGTACTCTATCTCATGTAAAAGAATTTCGTCTCCGCATTTGTTTTCGGGATTTTTAGTTACACGTATTCTGATCAACTACAAAATTCTGTGTGGATTTGTCTCAAAAGTTGGAACTCTGATAAATGGAAACTCTTACGTAGTCGTTTTTCCTGTTTTTTGTTCGACAATCTCAGTTAAAAAAAGAAAGAAAACTTTGAGAAAGTGACGAAAAGGAGGTGAGACAAAAGTGGCTACTTTGATTTGTTTATTGAGAGTAGGTAAAAGTTAGGCGAATTTGTCTCTTAACATTGACGTATTCTTCTTTTCCAAGGCAAACACGACGACAGCTCGCGGCGGATGGTCTCGAGAAGGTATCCCACTGGCACAACGGGAAGATCCATACAAATATCTTTTGGGTGGAGACCCAATTTTTAATTCGGTTCAACGTCCAGAAGGTATATTTGTTCATGCGAACGGTGATCTCTACGCATGTGATACCGGTCGCAATATAGTCAAGCAACAATGCAAGTACTATCGTGACCTTTCAAAGAATTTTTCTCCTACTCATCCCCGTTGGTTCATAACAGTCTATAATCTGGACAATCCAACCTCCATTTATGTGGACCAAGAAGGAGTGAGATACATCACGCATACCGCATCAGGCAAGAACTATGGAGTGACAAAGTGGATACTTGGAAACGACCCTCATGGCGACGTTCGAACGAGGATCATCACTGCCTCTTCTCGTCTCGCTGCAATCACAATGGATAAAGAAGAAAAATATTTGTACGTATCACATGAATTCGAACATCGCGTCGTTCGATATACCAAGGATGGAACAGAGGAGACAGTGGTTGCTGGTAACAATGGCCAAGGAAATGCACTCAACCAGTTGAACGGACGTATGCTTTTGTTAGTTACCGTACTTCCATCATCATCTCACTTCTTCTTCTTTAGCCAAGGGCATTTCGGTCGATCATGAAGGATCTGTGTACATTGCCGATAGTGAAAACAATCGCATCATGAAATGGAAGGCCAATGGTAAAAATATCGGGGAGCTTGTGATCGGAGAACAGGAAAGTGACGGTCTCGATCAATTAAAATTTCCCACGGATGTGCTCATCGATGAACAATCGGGTGACATGTTTGTCGCTGACTGTGGGAATAACAGGATACTCCACTTCTCAGCTGGCTGTCGAGAGGGAAGAATGATAGGTGGTGGTGGTCGATTGAACCGCCCCTGGTCTTTGGCATTAGACATCGAGGGCAATTTGTATGTCACTGAGATAGGTGGTGATAGAGTTCTTATGTTTTCTCGTCTTTGATTTTCTTCTTCTTGAAATGAACCGAATAATAAACTAGAAATTCTTTACATCCTACGTCATTTCTATTGGCCAAAATCGCTTTTCATTCGCTAACTGGACGAGTGGTCAAACCAGCAGAAAGCAGACTCCCTCATTAGCTGTCTTTTACTACACGAAAATCTTTCATTTTACTAATAAGCTTAGTTCTCTTGCTGAAAACAGTTATTTGTACTATAAACAAGTACTTCTGTTTGCAAAAGCCAAAGTGGCGAGAAAAATAATCACATTGGTGTATGGAAACCAGTTAACTACTGTAGTACCATGAATGGATATGTTTTTCCTGAACAAATCATACCTCATTTTTATAGCCATACTCGAGCTTTATAAGTTTGCTATTAACATCTCACTTGTGGGGAGCTGGAGAAAATAAACACTTGAAATTTTGGATCTTTAAAAACTGAAAATCCGCTTTCTAAATACTGAAAGGTTATTGAAACTTGAGTATGAACACATCATTAGAAGCAGTTTAACGAGCACTTTCGAATGAGACGTTGAATAAAGTTATTGTCAATATACTAGTTTGCCCGTGTGTTGGTGTACATGTATAGCATTCGAACACCGTGTTCCATCGACGTTCATTTTTGAACTTCCAAATACAGATTCTGATAGAGGACGCTTCGGACTATCCCACGATGCAAAGTGAGTTTTGGCCAAAATCAGCGATTCCTGAGGGGCGGACCCCCTTAATAGAATGTACATTCACCTTTTTCGGGGGGTCTGAGAATTTCTGTCGGTAGCGCGGCACTCAGATCTACCTGTTTGAAGGAATTGATACGCTCTACTACATTCAGATAAGAATAGAAACTTTTAGTAGTAGTATGTCGGGATTGCAAAAAAATGAAAGTGAGATTTTTCGTGACTTGAATAAGCTACACATGCAGACTAGCTGTCAAGAAATATTTTGGTGAAAAATTTTTGCCTCTAGTGCATTTATCCACCGAGAAAAGTGGATTTGAAAATTTACCGTGTTCCTACGCCTTATACAGATAAAGTGGTCTTTTCTCAGAAGAGAAAAGCTTTTCGAAAATGAGACAGACATATTCTAAAAGTGGACAATCCAAGCTATCGATTCATAGATAAAGTTTTGGTTGTAGCATATTTCTTTACAAAAAAGAATTTGGAAATTTATCTCCGAAGCCCTACTTTTTCAAAACGGTGTTCAGTAAAGTTGACGCGCGGAGCTTAGCGGACCTTCAAAACACTTGAAATAATCAGGAAATGTTCGTCATCCTACGACACGTCTTCACTATTAGAGCAAAGTAGTGCAAATGCTTCTGTGATGAGTTATAAGTTTTGCAAAACCCATTGGATTTCTAGAGGATTTTCAAGGCGTTTTCGGTTCACTTTATTACCAGAGTTCACCTTATTTCCCCACAAACAGCGATTTTCCAAGTTTTTCCAATAAACTTTGAGCTGATGCTTTTCAATCTGAAATTGGTTGGGCTAGACTCAGTTTTCGACGAGGAATCCAACAAAAACAAAGTTTGAGTCGACAGGAGCTTCCAAAAAAAAGTTATGAGGGTTTTTCGGAAGGTCAAAGATTTTGAAAGTTTTTGGTGGCTCACAGTATTTTGCAATTTTCTCCCCAAAGAAAAGGTTTTTTTGAACTTCTAAGGTCATATTCGTGATCAGCATGAAATTCTGCATCAGAATATGTACGTTCTGTTGAAAAACAAAAACTGCTCGAATTTTGCATTGTGTGCACCTTATATTAGGGCATATTTTTCATAAATGAAAAATGAGAGAAAAATGCATCAGAATTTAGTGCAATTTATCTTGGATCACCCGTTAGTAGTGATCTTCTGACACATGCTAATATGTGTTGATAGAGTTCTCTCAGTGATGAATGTTACGAAGTTTAGCTTTCAAAATTCGTTTTCACAATTTTACGATTTATTTATTTATTGCTAGACGTACGCATCAAAGATGTCATTTTCTGTCGGGATGATCTCGAGAATGAAGTCAGAAAATACTGGTTCAAACGCGAACTGAAAACATTGAGATCGAATCTACATCAGTCGTTCTACGATTTCAACTAGGATGTCTAGTTCGTTTTTAGTGAACGACCAAAAAAAAAAAGATTTTTTGTGCACTTTATTTTTTTCGACTTTCGAGATAATTAAAATAAAGAAAAAGAAGAAAGTTAGGGTCCATTCCCTTTTAAAATACGTTTTCCAGCTGATTGTGCAGCTGGTAATAAATAATGAATCAGAGAGATAATTGCACTATCAAATAGCGATGATCTTCTGAAACATGTTGATATGCATTGATAGAGCCTTCTAAGTAATGAACGTCACAATGGCTGGTTTTCGAAATTCGTTTACACAATTTTACAATTTTTCATTTTATTGTTAATCGAGATTTCGTGCTTCGCATCTTATATCGCATTCTCGACAAAATCGAGATGCCATCTAGTTAATGCGGTGCGAAGCACAGCATTTATGTATTCCTTCGCGAGTTTTCTTTTTTCTTACTTACTTGACGTACGCATCAAAGTTGTTATTTTGTGTCGCGATGATCTCGAGAACGGAAAATCACAAAAAAAGAAGTTTAAATGTAGGATGAAAGTATCGAGATCAAATCGTGAAAATCTGTTTTCCAGTTTTCACTTGAATGAATCGTTGGCTTATAAATAATTTAAGAAAAAGTCGAATTTGAAAAAGGACTTTGTTTTTTTCAATATTTGAAATAATTAAAACGAAAATAAGACAGAAAGTTAGGCGCCACTCTCTTAAACAACTGATTTCATATGTGTGATATGGATTAATAGAGTTTTCTAAGTAACGAATGTATCAATGTCTAGGATTGGAATTTTATTTAATGATGAGATTTCAGTGATTATATGGATAAAGACTCTTTAATCAATAGTCGATATTCAATTCTGTCTCGTTCTACTACTTTCCAGTTTTTCCAATCAGGTAGGAGACATGTAGTTTTCTTATCTATTACCGAGTCTTTTTTAACGAATATTTTCACGCATGTTACTCACTTGTTCAACCTGCTTCTATCAAACCTATTGTTCATTCAGTCTCTCCTATTCACGAAAAATTTCAGACATGTTCATTTCTTTAAACGACATTCAAAGCACTGTTAAATCCATGAATAAAACACAAAGTACAGGTACAGACGGTTTTTTTCTAAAATTCATCAAGCGATGTCTTTCTATTCTGCAAGACCAACTGTTAGATATGTTTTCAACTGTATTAATACTATCTGTTTATATGTGAGAGAAAACATTAGGTTTTCAAATCATTTTTGATGGATAGTTTTGATCGTTGATAAATACTAAATCAAATGAAATTGACACTAATTAATTCGGCAACTTCGATTATTATCCTTTAACCTTAAATGATTTTTGCTCTATGTTCGTTTCATTGGCGTCAGTCAAAAGTGTACATGAATGTAGTTTATAATCATGTTACCAGAATCTTACATAAAGTGAATACTACAACCAAAAGCAATATAGGCCAGAAATGTGTATGAAAATAAAATAATTACCAAAACTATCGAGCAGTTTCAAAAACCAGAGCAAGATGAAGACGAAGATGAAGATGATTTGATCAGTCTTCGATGTCCTCGTTATCGAAAAAATTTCTGTTTTCATCGTACGTTTACCTATTACATCGACTAAGACGAGTGTACTGTGAATCTATCATATATTCTGGAAACTTTGCGAGTTAAAATAAAATTAATCACAATAAATCCATTTTTTGTTTCATAATAATTTAAAGTACACGAGTTGTACTATTCTGCTAAACACGATCTTTTTTTTCTGCTTGGAATATTGGAAATCAACATTAAACTTTCCATCGAATGAGAAGACCGTGAGTTAATTCAATCAAAGATTTTGATGGAGTTCTCCAACAATTTCGTTGAACGATATCAAACGGTTTTCTTACAAAAAAAAATTGTAACAATCACATCATTTAATGCAGTTTTTAATACTGATTCCGAATATCGGGCCTATTTCACTTAAAATGTGAGATTATATGCAAAGAAACTTCGTCAGACTGTTTTTTCAGATTTTAAAGATGATTCACAAACCACAGGTATGTAAACAAAAGGACAAGAGCTGTTAAGGCATGTTAATTATCGTTTTTTCTGACTGCGTGTTGTTTTTTGAGTGATTGATGAACTTCTGTCTGAAGTTTTCATATTATTATGGAACCTTGAACGTTGGACTTTCCGAGTTTTCAACTGGATATTACCGGGATATTACAATATAATACTTGTCATCGTACTGGTGGCTGATAAGAATAATGATTTTTTATTATTTGTTAACGTTCTTCATGTAATATACTTGCCCATATAGGATTATCATGTATGAATGTACGGTAAATACAGGACTTTTTACTTTACAGAATAAGAAAATATAACAGGAAATTTTCCTAGAATCTACCCTAGATGAGGTCTTTTTTCTCAAGCACATGAGATTCCATACCTCAAGATTTGTCTCCACGCATATGAATTTTCTTATCCATGCAACATACGTGATATGAGATTCGTGCTTGACTTTCTTGCCTCATGTAGTTGTGTGAGTTGAAGCATGTGCATGAGAGGAAAAATATCTAAAATAATGTGCATACCTTAAGAAAGTCAATCACATGAGATGTTCAAGTGCTTGAGATAAGATTTCATGCGCATAAGTCTCTTGAGATACAAAACTCAAATACACGAGTCAAGAAAGTAAAGCGCATGACTTCCGAAAAAAATACGTTTTGCTTGAATAAGAAATGTCTCCATGTCATGAGATTCTTACTTCAGAAATTCAAGAAAGCCATGCGCTCGAAAAAACATTTCACTAGGGCACCACTCATAACTTACTCATTCATTGATGGAGCTAAATAGTCTTTTTAGTATCAGAGTCGTAAGACTTTTTACTAAGAAATGTGAAAATGTTCAACATTTTCAGTTGAACCCGGCAAAGGATTCTACACATACTTTTTCTGTTGGAATAACAT